AATTGAAATATGAAGCCCTAAGGGCCCCCTTTTAAAAAAAAAAAAAAAAAAAAAACTAATTTACGAAATACCCCTATAAGTTGATATATATTTTAAAATGTCCCTAAAAGATGTGGGTAGAGCGGAATACCCCTTTGACTTTTTTTTTTTTTTAACCCCTCTGACATAAGAAATGTTTTGCGAGGCCCCTGGCGTCTGTTGGACCTGCCATCGTTGCAAAATACCCCTACCGGATACTGTCCATCTTTGCAAAATGTGCCAGTACTTGCCAACAAATCCTAGACGGTATGTGTTTTACCCTTAGTGGCCTAGGTCATCTTTGCGTTTGCCCCCTCGCCGAGAGAGAGAGAGAGAGAGAGAGAGAGAGAGAGAGAGAGAGAGAGAGAGAGAGAGAGAGAGAGAGAGAGAGAGAGAGAGAGAGAGAGAGAGAGAGAGAGAGAGAGAGAGAGAGAGAGAGAGAGAGAGAGAGCGAGCAGGAGTGGAGAGAGAGAGAAAGAGAGAGAGAGCAGGAGTGGCGAGCAGGAGGATTTCATAGATGGTGATGTGGCATAGGAGGAGTTGGACATAGGGAACCTTACCAGGGAGGACTATGAATGAAGTTGTCGAACACAGAGTGAGACAACGGCAGAGACTTGGAACGAGTTCGAAAGTTTGAATCACAGATGGCCGGAGGCAGACAGCCCCGACGACGGGTCTGGGTATTGCACAAAGTTGCCCACCCGGTATGGAGGGCAAACCGGGTGAAACAGGGTGCGGACCCAGGCCCCAACGACGGGGTCCCGATCGCGAATTTGCGCTTTTTTTTTTTTTTTTTTTTTTTTTAAAGCTCCATCTATTGGTGGGGAGCAACATCTGTTGGAAACCGGGTCCAACGTCCCATAGATACAACCATATCCTCTCAATTTGGCACAAACTGGAAACCGGGCCCCAGCGTCCCATAACGAGTACGAAAAATCGTCAAAAAATTTCATGAAAATGAGACAAAGAACTATTAGAAAAATCCAGTTAACCTATCAACTCGATGTCTAGGCATTATTTTTTTAGCAACTCAAACAGCAATTGGTGGAAGTCCTTCAAATGCTCAGAACCCCTGGAAGCTCCCCACAAAAAACACTCTAAAATTCTCTAATACTGTCTTCTTCCCTGCCGAGCTCTCCCAGGCCTCATACCCCCACCCTGCTAGGTTACAGGGCAACACGACTCACCCCAGCTCCGACCAGCGTCATCCCGACAGCAACCCTTGGTTTTCCTTTGGAATGCCCGTCCCAAAGCATCCCAAGATCTCTCTACTAGGCCTCACGCTCCTGCTATTAACAAGTTACAGGGCGATCCCCTAGCACCGCCCAGCGTCGTTCTGGTATCGAAAAACCAACAGATCCATGAGTAAACAACATCAGGGAAACCTATACTGTTTTGCAAGAAGTATCCAGGGTCCTAAAGAATTCTCAAGACTACCAAAAGTAACCAGAAACATCTCAAAACTGAAAATCGAGTCAGAGAAGCCCCCGTCAAACCTCTTCACCTCACTCCGGCAAGACTAACTGCAGCAGAGCCACCATCTCTGCTGCTGTTGTACCGTACTCCCATCCTACCAGCTAGCCCTCTCACTAGTAGGACGCGTGATATCCTACCATTTCCTTCTCCCACCCACCTTATTCTCTTTTAAGGTACGTAAGAACACATTACAATAAAAAAAAACATAAAAATAGGTCGCAGGGGTCTTGTAAATGTTCCTAAAAATGTTGAAATTCCTCACAAACCCTTCCGAAGTCTTCCAAAACTGTCTTACTCCCTGCCGAGCTCTTCCAGTCCTCCCACCCCCACATCTAGCTGGGTTACAGGGCAACACGACTCACCCCATCTCCGACCAACGTCATCCCGGCAGCAACCCTTGGATGTCCCGTGGAATGCCCACCCCAAAGCATCCTCAGATCTCTCTACCAGGCCTCATGCTCCCGCGTTGCAGGTTACAGGGCAACTCCCCAGCACCGGCCAGCGTCGTTCTGGCATCGGACAACCGCAAATCACTGAGTATAACAATATCGAAAACACCTCAGGATGAGTTAGTAGGAATCTCAAAATCCTGAAGGCCATCCAGGACTACCAAACGACCTACTCTTATTCAAATTTTCGCCATGAACTTTATGAAAACGAGGGGAGCGAAACTAAAACTACCTACTATCATAAAATCCCCCCTCAACAGACAAAGTGTCAGTCCAGGCTTTCAGTCTTCGTACCAAAACTCACTTGATCTCATACCCCCTTCTGCTAGGGTAACAGGGCACCACAACCCTCCCCAGTACCGACCAAACTCGTTCTGACGGTCAGGAAGTGCCTTCCTCCCTCGACAGTTCTTGTGGCGGCAAGCCCCTAACAGGTTACAAGGTCAATACCCCGGCGCTAACCTTGTTGGACGGTCTGGTTATGAGCTCAACATAACTTCGCAGGCCTCAAGCTCCCCCCCGGGTCACAGAGCACAAGCTTCAGCACCGGCCTGAGTCGTCCCAGCACCGTCCTTCTAACCTACTTACCTTGATCGACAACCCTCCTCTGTTGAGAACCCCTTTCTACCTTCCATCCCCAGTCCCAGCTTCGCTCCCCTAATTTTTAGGACATAAATTCCTTCAAAGGCCTAATTTTGGAAAATGGTAATCAAAAACGAATTCCAGGAATTCTATCTGAAACATCTTTTAGAATTTTAGAATTAAAAAGGAGCGACAAATCTGGGATTTGGAATTATAATTATTCCAAATGAAAAATGATTCAAGAGCATAGATTTTAGGAATGGAAATTGAAACCAAATGAGGAAATCGTCTGTGGTCTTTTGGGAAATGGAATTTAGAGATAAGAATATGTCTAAATTGGACTAATGAATATAAAAATTCCAGAAGATAATTCTGATCGCGGTTGTTATTGTGATCGTGATAAGAAATGTTTATTGAAAATAACAGTTATATGACAAGAAATATACCCGTCAATGAATAAACATGAATAAAGATCCACCGAAACTTACGAAAGATCACTTCAAGCAATATCACTCACCAAGGAAGCGGTTAACGAAAATCTGTTGAACAGAAATTATCTAGAATTATTTCGCAAAAAAAACTGGATGAATTTCTGAATATAACAGCGATCTAAAAAGTGGAGAACAGATCACTAAAATTGCAGATACAACATACTCCGACGCCAAAAACGACCAACCTACCCTTCCTGCCAAAGATATGCATACTCTGAAACCATATTGTCGACCGTTTTTTACTGATGAAACAAGGGTAATGAAGCTTTACCTATTTGAAGATCTTCTCCTGCCGCCACGACCATACTTTACTGATGAAACAAGGGTAAATTAAGCTTTACCTATTTGAAGATCTTCTTCCGCTGCCGTTCTGCACAATACCCCCCCCCCGGTCGCCTTCCTCACAGTCTTTTCAGCCCCAACCCGACCCCTGCCCGCCTTTGGAAAAGAAGGTAATCTACCTTCCTTCGCCCGTCACCTGCTAGCACTCCGGCGCACAAAACACCCTTGATATTCTCGGCTAGCGACACGAAAGCTTTACCAGGCCACCCCCGGCTCATGACGAGCCAAGGAATGGTATGAAACAGCCTTGTCGAGCCCGCCGACAAGGGTCCACAGGAAGTCCGGACCTTCAAGGAAGCTGCCCAACAAACACGTAAGGCGCCTCCATCTTATCACCGGAAGGAAGAGACCAGGGGGCAAAAAAGGCAGTCAATTGAGAAGTACCCGTACTTCCGATATCAACCGCAGCAGCAGCAGTTCCCTCACAGACATAGCGCTACTCTTATAGTTCAAGCCCGATAAAGACGCTGTCTACAGTGCCGCTGGAGCCGCTCAACTCATCAGACGAAGACAATGGATGTTGCTGCTGTTCCTGGTTAGGCTGATGTTGGAACCCAAACTCTCCCCCCGCCCCGCCCTACTCCATCGCCCCTCATCGCCAACCTCCAAGAACGAGCCATGAACGCGCCACGGCCCTCGTCGCCCACCTCAACGGCGAAACCGCATCGTGAAACCGTGCCGTGTGAAAGCGCCATCGAAAACCGGGCGCAGCGCTCCCCGCAGCGCTGGGGGCAATACGCAAAGAATTACGCGCAAAAAGGCATTCCGCTCAAAGCACATCTTTTAGGGGCATTTTGGCATATATCTCAACTGATAGGGGTATTTCGCAAATTATCCCCAAGGAAAACTAACAACACCTGCCAAAAGACGGTGACCACTGAACTGAAAGACCCTGAGAGGAGCGGCTTTTGGGATATGTACGGCTCCCGCCGTGGCCGTAAAAGGCCTTTCTAAAATTGGGCATTCGAATGGGCCGGAGAATTGTACTTCGCGCCCAAAGTACCCGCTCTAAGAACATCTTTTCGGGGCATTTTGGCGTGTATCTCAACTTATAGGGGTATTTCGCAAATTATGACCATAAATAACTAACAACACCTGCCAAAAGACAGTGACCACTGAACTGAATGAGCCTGAGAGGAGCGGCTTTGGGATATGTACGGCTCCCGCCGTGGCCGTAAACGGCCTTTCTAAAATTGGGCATTCGAATGGGCCGGAGAATTTTACTTCGCGCCCAAAGTACCCGCCGCTTTCTGACTGGAAAACGTGGAGGGATGGCTGGCTGCGGTGAGAGAGGCTCGTTTCCCGCGCAGTAGGCAGACCGCTTGCTTGCCGATCCAAACGACGGGCACGTGCATCAGCGGTTGAAACTCCACCCCGACTTCTTATGGGGAACGATTTCGATTCGTTTCCTAGGCTTCTCCCTCCATAGCAGTACGGACATGGACATAATATAGGGGCCTGTCAACGTGTCATGAGGACGGGGAATTACAGATACATTGATTGATTTCCGGTGTCAACGTGTCCTCGAATTCTTTCGGCATTTTCCCAAATGACGATTGGTGCAACAAAACCTATAAGCAAAGATTGATCAGTGCATTGCGGATCCGGTTCAGTTCAGTGGAGCTGTCGTTGAGGGGTGTTGCGTGGATGTCGTCCAGTGTCAAGCTGCGAAGCCTTATGTGCTGTGGGCGATGAGTATGAGTGTGGGCAGGCAGTGAAGAGGAGCGACCGGTTCGGCGAGGCGACGAGTGTCATGGGCAGTGAATAGCAATTGTGGATCGACACGTAATGCGTGATAAAGGTGCTCATCTTCAGACAGGAACTCGTTTCTTCCTCCTGACTTCTCCTGAGTCACAAATAACAGCTCATCCTAGTCTCTTCCTCCCTCCTTTCTCGCTTCTTCTGGTTTCTACTCATCCCGTTTCCTGTTTCCCCGTTCCCCCCCTTGCCCCCTCCCTTCCCCCTCCCTTTCCCCCTCCTTCCCCCCCTTCTTCCCTGTCCCCGTCTACCCACCCTTGCCGTTCAGGTGCCCAAGTTGTGACCTTCATCGAATGCAATGAATTTGCCGCCGCTTGCCGGCTCTATTCATTGACAGCGCGTCTTCCCCCGAACAAAACGCACCTTAATCGTGGACGTATACGAGCTGTTTGTTTGGTACGGTGCATTCATGATGGGGGGGCAGCGTTGTGTTCGGGGGAAGACGGATCGCCCTCTCACAGCGCGGAGAGGGACAGACATGCCCCGCGCAGAACCGTCTTGGGAACTCCGATGCTCTCAGAGAACTTTCGTCGTATCTTCCTCGTTTTTCCCAGTGTCGACTCCTCGTCATTTCCCTAGCGAACTGTTGGCTACCCTCTTCGCCCGAAGAGCACGCCCGGTCATTATAGCCGTATCTGGACTGAAAATTGCACCAAATACGGCGATAATGACCGGGCATTCTATACGGGTGAAGACGGTAGGTCTCTCAGCCCGCGTACGTACACCATGCCTGATACGACGACCTGGTCTGGCCGCAGTTGCAGGCGGGCACCGCAGCCGCCCTCTACGTTGCCCATGAAGGAAGTTGTGTACGTATGTATGCATTTCATGTGTGTGTATTTATGTATGAATATATGTATTAAGCTATGAATTAATCTATGTATTAATGGATGAATTAATCGATCATGTGTGTGTATTTATGTATGAATATATGTATTAATGTATGAATTAATCTATGTATTAATGTATGAATTAATCTATGTATTAATCTATGTATTAATCTATGTATTAATCTAGGTATATAGGGTTCAGCCTCCTGATGAATCGGTGAAACTCTGGCGGAGCGGCCTGTTACAGCCCTCCGTTTATTGGCCTTTTCTCCCTTTCTGCCTACACCTCACGGGGTCCCTCGGTCGGGACGCGATCATCCCCGTCGATCGGGATCCTGAACATCCTCATAAATGCTGGACATCGCCATCGACCGGGACGCTGAACGCTCTCACCGATCGGTCAGCTTTTGCTGATCGGAATGCTGGAGATCCCGATCGGTCGGGAGAGTTCCGTCGTGTCGTCGGGTTCGGGCGGGAGGCTGAACACTCATCGGGATCTGGACGCTGAACAGCCTCGTCGGAATGCTGAACATCCCGATTGGTCGTCAGGCAGCACTCCCGCCCAACCTCATCGGGATCTGGACGCTAAACAGCGTCGGCGCAATGTTTAACGTCCCGATCGGTCGTCAGGCAGCACTGCCGTCCGAACCTCATCGGGATCTGGACGCTGAACAGCCTCGTCGGCATGCTGAACATCCCGATCGGTAGTCAGGCAGCACACCCTCGTCGGGTTTGGGTGGGCGTCTGAACAGCTTCATCGGATCGGTCGAGAGACGGGACCCCGCCTGATCGGGATCTGCAGCGCGGCTGCGAGCACGCACACCCTCATCAAGATCTGGCTTCCGTATCTGAGTAACCCCTGTTTTGGAAGCGAGGGGGTGAGAGCACACTTAGGGCATGGCCTACTAAGAAAACAAAAACAATAGGAAAAGGGTAGGGCATACTCTCACACGCGGACTTCTGCGACTGAAGCAGCGGTCAGGTTCATTCCGGTAGAGTTCAATTCTGAGTCCAGATACATTCAGTTAAGCCAAGTCTGAGTCTGAGTACATTGCCTCATGCAAGCACGGCGGGCGGTAAAGAAGGGAAAGCGGGGCGTGACGAACTGTGTTGCCATTGTCAGCAGGTTTTTGACCCAACCATTTATTTATTTATTTATTATTGTGAAGGGGTACCCCCATAAACATTTTTGTATATCTCCCTTAACATCATGGCATCCATCTCATGGAATCCAATAATGGGCCTCGCTCCACTACCCAGCGAGTGTTCGAAAATGAGAATGAATATCCCCCTAGAACATGGGAAGATACACCACCATATGTTTTGTCTTTTGTGCCTGTCGGGGAGTAGTGGAGCGAGGCCGAATGTTAGGGGAGTGCTCCTTCATAATTAATTAATTAATAATACTGTAAGAAGAAGAATCCAAAATGATTGCGTCAAATATGGGTGTGGGCCATCTACCATCCAGCCAAGCGTTTGGCTGTGGAAGACGCAGTCATTGTTTTTACGCGCCGTCAACATAAACTTTTTTAGCAGTTGGCGAACGGTTTGTGGGCACACACATGGCATCTGCAGAGTGCCACAATTTATTTGATGACGTCATCTCACACGTGTCAGATGGTGTTTTTTTTTTTTTTTTTTTTTTTTTTTTTTTGGGGGGGGGGGGGGGGGGGGGGGGGGGGGGGGGGGGGGTGTGAGGCACCATTTCTCGATTTATGCGTGTCATCCCTGCGCAGAAGCCATGCTAATCTTCTTCGCTGTATCGTTCCAATTTTAACGGATGTCCCAAAGGACCAGATGGTATTTTCAGTCGGGATCGTGGAGAACTTTGTGCGGAGTGAAGAAAATGAATCTTCCCTGAGAATTCCGCAAAGGGTGGTGACGAGCCACTAACCAGTGCAAAACGTCTTTTCCCGCACTCCTCAAAGAAGCGTCTTTTTTTTTTTTTGTAGAAGCTTTTTGCGACGATTTGCCTTTTTTTTTGTTGCTTTATTTTATTCTTAGTTTTTAATTGTATCATCTGTACCGATGGACCAGGGATCGGATATCGAACTTCTAGGAGCAGACACTACCTTCTTCTCCCGAATACAACGCACGGTCATTATAGCTGTATTTAGACTGAAACGTATGCCAAAGACAGCTATAATGACCGTATGTTGTATTCGGGGGAAGAAGCTAGTTCCATGTTTAGCCAAAAGGCCTACTAGAAACTTAGTAGACAGTTTTTTTTTAATTTTTTAAAAATAAGTTAAAATAACGCAAAACACACACCTGCCCCTTCTATTCTTGGGGAAGCCGTCAGTCTTGTTGCTTATCACCGTCAAGCATGAGAGAAAAGATAGGGAAAAAAAAAAAAAAGATAGAAGAGAGGCAGCYCTKCCCAGGCTTTTTTYTYCCAGGKYATYTWKYTTTTTTTTTTTTTTTTTTTTTTTTTTTCTCTATCAATTTCTTACCTTGCAGAGGGGGCAGCAAGATTCTCGATCGCTCAGATCTCTCTAGCCGGAGGCCAAGTCCGAGTAGCAGCGTTGAATTTGCTCAACGCCTGAATCTGGACGTGTTTGTGGAGATGTGCAGAAATGCCGTTGAGTTTTCTCTGCCGCACATGTCCACAAAGACGTCCAGATTCAGGCGTTGAGCACACCCAATGCTCCTACTGGGACTTGGCCTCAGGAGGCCCTTGGGGTCGTACCCAGACGTTCATCAGAGAGGTATGTATGTGCGTCCAAGACCATCCTCCGAAAAAAAAGAAAAAAAGAAAAAAAAAAAGGCCATCCTCCCCCTTGGTAAAAAGGCGCCCGCTACCAAGGTTCTGCCGCATTTCAGGCGGTGGCCATATATTCTTTTGTTATTTTTATATTCTTCCCTTTTTTCGTTCTTGATCGCAACGAAATTTGTAAACTACCTTCTTCCCTCGAATAGAACGTACGGTCATTATAGCTGTATCTAGACTGAAAGATGCCTCAAATACAGCTATAATTGACCGTACGTTGTATTCGGGGGAAGAAGGTAGAGGTGTCTCCCCCAACACACTGCTCCCTGATCATGAATGTATACAAGCTGTTTTTCCGGTACGATGCAGTCATGATGATGGGAAGTGAATTTGTAAACTACCCGTCTTCCCCCGAACACAGCGCATCCCGATCATGAATGTATAAAAGCTATCTTTCCGGTGCGATGCATTCTAAACCTAAGGTCTCTCCCCGAACACAGTGCTTCCCGATCATGAATGTATACAAGCTGCTTTTCCGGTAAGATGCAGTCATGATGATGGGAACGGAATTTGTAAACTACCCGTCTTCCCCCGAACACAGAGCCCATCCCGATCGTGAATGTATAAAAGCTATTTTTCCGGTACATTGCAGGCATGACGGTGGAGGGAACGGAGTCCGTAAACTACCTTCTTCCAACTTACGGTCATTATAACTGTATTTCGACTGAAAGATACCCCAAATACAGCTATAATTACCGTACGTTGTATTCGGGGGAAGAAGGTAGCCGTCTTCCCCCGACGACGGGCGCACTGGCAAAGTACAAGATTTCACTCCCTCAGGGGGCGTACCCACACAAGCTCTCTCCCGTGTTTGCACTCGCACATTCAGCACCTCATTTTTGAATGCATCTGACGTCAGATTCCTGCCAGGTTCATTCAGGAAACTCTTCGTGTAAGTATATGCCCGTCGAACCTCGTTTTTGAATGAATCTGGACTCAGATGCCGTCAGGTTCATTGAAAACAACCCTTCGTGCAAGTATATGCCCTCACTCTCTCAGAGCCGTCCAGAAATAGATATCTGCCGTTTATGAACGCCAGGTGCAACGTTCACCATTGTGATGTTATGACATTTATTAATAATAATAATGAATCATATTATTATTAATTAACTAATTAATAATCATTACAATAATAATAAAAGCTGACGACATATTTGCAGTGCGGGTCTCAAAAATTTTCGGTTTTTTCTTTTCTTTTCTGAATATCCAGGTCATAAAGTGTTGAATCAGTAAAATAAATAACCTGATGACCAAGTTTCTTTCGGACTCGTTTTTTTTTTTTTGCAGGGTTCCTTCCCGGCCTTCAATGGCACCAGCACAAGAGCTGGTGTCTGAAAGGCCGCCGCCTCCTCCTCCTCCTCCTCCTCCTCCTCCTTTTCACCAATTCTTTATGGATGCTATCAGCCATGGGGCCTTGCATTACACAGCTGCGTCTTTGACGAGCAAGATTTTTCAGTATGGAGGAGGTCCTTTACGGAGGAGCAGCTGCCAGGCACATGCACAGGCACATGCACAGGCACAGGCCCAGGCGCTAGAATCGTGGGACAAAATGGGACACAACTGTCCACAGGCACTAGAACCGCGGGACAAAATGGGACAGAGCTGTCAACAGGCACTAGAGTTGCGGGACAAAATGGGACAGAGCTGTCCACAGGCACTGGAAAAGTGGGACACAATTGGACACAGCGGTCCAGAGGGACTAGAATCGCGGGACAAAGTGGCAAAGAAGTGGGTCAACATGGGACAGATCTGTCAACAGGCACTAGAACCACGGGGCAAAGAGACAAAGAAGGGGTGGAAAGTGGGACAGAGCTGTCCACAGACAGTACAAGTGCGGGACAAAATGGGACAAAGCTGTCCACAGACAGTACAAGTGCGGGACAAAATGGTACAGAGCTGTCCACAGACAGTACAAGTGCGGAACAAAATGGGACAGAGCTGTGCTGAACCATCATGTTGGTCTACAGTTGCGGCCTGCGAGGCGGGAAATGGGGTGTGCGTTGGTGGGCATGCGCTGCCAGATGTCCAGACAAATGGAGGGGGGTTAGACAGTGCCCTGGGAAAGGTTGGGGGTATTAAATGGAGAAATGCAGTTGCAGGATCTGTGGCTGGACTAGCCTCCGTCGTGGCTCTGTACCCACTGGAAGTTGTTCGGACCAGATTCCAAGGTAAGCAACAGCCTTTTTTTTTTTTTTTTTTTTTTTTTTCGGCCTCCTTGTGGGAGATGTGGTGGGCTGCGCCCCACAGCAGTACTGTTTTTTTCCTCTTCCTGTGGGAGATCTGGTGGGCTGCGCCCCACTTCACTCTGATGCAGTGCACGAAGACACTGGTGAAGGAGTCCCCTAGGCAAGCCTACCCCACCCATTGGACCCCTCCGTGGCCCCATGAAATGCAATGTCCCTGTCATCGCGGTGACATCAGCATGGTGACAGGGACATTGCATTGCTGATGTCAGCATGGTGATGGTGGAATTGGATTGCTGATGTCAGCATGGTGATGGTGGAATTGCATTGCTGATGTCACCGCGGTGACAGGGACATTGCATTGCTGATGTGACCACAGTGCCAGAGACATCACATTGCTGACACATGGGTCCAACTGTAACTGTATGTGCGAAGATGAGTGGGAGTCTGTGGGACAGATTATGGATGTTTGGCAAAGATTGGATGGTGACAGGGACATTGCATTGCTGACGTCAGCATGGTGACAGGGACATTGCATTGCTGACTTCAGCATGGTGACAGGGACATTGCATTGCTGACGTCATCATGGTGACAGGNCATTGCTGACGTCAGCATGGTGACAGGGACATTGCATTGCTGACTTCAGCATGGTGACAGGGACATTGCATTGCTGACGTCATCATGGTGACAGGAACATTGTATTGCTGACGTCAGCATGTGACATTACACTGTTGGCGTCAGAATGGTGAAAGGGACATTGCATTGCTAACGTCACCATGGTGCCAGGGACATTGCATTTGGTGACAGGGACATTGCATTGCTGACGTCAGCATGGTGACAGGGACATTGCATTGCTGGCGTCAGCATGGTGACAGGAACATTGCGTGGCTCATGGGAGCATGGTGAAAGGAACATTGCATGGCTGATGCATCGACGGTCAGGATGCCATTTTGTATCTGGCAGAAACGGGTGGGGCAGATTGGATGACACGTGGGCATGGTGACAGGGACACTTCTGCATTGCTGACGAATTGGTCTGCATGGCATTGTATTGGGCAGAAATGGGTGCTGCCTCCTCTGCTGAATGAGTGGGTTCTTATCACTTTCTCTGCTTGATACTCTTGACCTCATCTGCAGAGTGCGGGGCCTCCTGCTTGCTACCTTCGCCCAGCAAATGGCTGTGGAGAATACAAAATAATGAATGCAAAGTACGTGCGCTTTGGCAGTGTTGTTCCTTAAGCACTGAGGATATGGTCTTGCTTTAAACCGCCAGCACACGGCGGCCCTAGCCTTGCAGAAAATCGCGAATTGCCAACTCTGAGCTGTTTGGGGCTCGGGGCTACCTGGACCACAATGGCTGGCGGCAACAACCAAAGAAAAGAAAAAAGTGCGCCGGTGGCGGCTCGGGAAAAAGCCTTGGCGTGCAGTGCAGCGCCTCCAGGCCTGGTTGTACTGGTGGTTTAAGATTGTATGAACACTAGCATTTTCTTGCATGTATTTGATTGCAAATACGAGCAGATTCAGCTCAGAATGTCCTTGTGTGTGTGCGTCTTAAATGGAATGCTGGTTCATAGTACAATCCTCAAAGAAAATGGTCTTCCTCTAAATGAATCTCACGGGAGAATTGAAAATAAAATCTTATGGGAGTGAAGAAACGACAGTGCAAAGCTGCAAAGATCCACTGATTTGTGGTAATCATCAGGGTTGCATACCCACCGACCGTTTTGCAGCCTACTGGTTGGGCCGACCGGTCGGTGGTCTGCTGAGCAGTCAGTAAACGGCCATCCACTGATTTTGTTTTTTAATCTGACTATGGGGCTGTAC